AAATTAAATAATTTAAATAGTCGTTTGAAAAAGAAAAGCTAAGTGAAGAATTATTTGCATATCGATAATCATGTCATCCAAAAATTAAAACATATATTCTATTTTTACAAACGGACATACATGTGACATTTAATAAATATCGAATCGACAAATAAGATTGCTCACGTGTACTTATTCAGTCTTCCGTTAGAGTAAAGAGCATATATGCTCTAGCTTTTGAATGACAGAGACATCAATATCTCATAATAAAGTGTATTTGTATATCATTTACGATAATTTAGAGATATCGTTATCTTTTTTTCCAATCTAAAATAATAACATACTCTTTCACCAACTATACTTCAGCTATGCAAACATTTTTTATCAAATTTAAAAATTGCTAGAATTAACTAATTCATATATCAACCATGGACTATAGAGTACCCTCTATCTTCTTTCTTTTTTCCCCTTAAAAGACAATCTAAATCTACATGTTATTTCCCTCTTCTTCCTTTTCCTTCTCTCCTAATCTACGCAATTTTTTATATGGTTCGTATTTGGTGTATAGTATCCACATTAAAGTCCTATCAATACAGTTCCACATTGGATAGAGCCCCATTTCGGGAGAACACTTTCTCAACCTTTTTTTTAAGGAAGAAAAAATCCCATTCACTATATCACATTTTTTAATCGTAACATACACAATTTGCTCATGCTAGTGGCATAGGTATAGCCGATTGAGGGTGTCTAAGGACACCTTTTGTCGGAAAATTACATTATTTGAACCCAAAATAACACAATATTATTTTTTTTGTTCTGACAAATTATTATTTTTAAATATTTTTAATAAAATTTCTGACTCCATCACATCATATACTATTACGATTAATTATTTTTTTTTTGCCACCTCATGTACACATGTAATTTATGAAAGGGTATAAGAAATAAGAAAGTTTGGGGACCCAATAAACTGCCAAAGCAAAATAAATATCATAACAAACAAGTTGGAATTTGTGGAAGAGAATAAAAAAGCTTGCGTGTTTCTATCCTTTACCGTTTTATTAACAATGTCTCCAAAATTAAATGCACGTTTCGTATTTATTTATTATTATTTTCCTTTTTTTAGAAATAATTATATATATTTTATTCTAAATTGCTAAATGAATAAAAAATGAAAAAGCATTTGTTCTTGGAGGAAGCATCACGAGTTCCACTATCTTAAAGATTGCACATTGAATAAAGGTGTTTTTTTTTTTGTCTAAGCTAAATTCTTTAAGAGATTTTGGTTTTTATACGTAAAATGCGCAAAGAATCCTTACATAATTATCATTTTTATTTAAATTGTAAGATTATAACTCGGACTTATTTTTTATATGATATACGTAATTAAATTTAATTAAAATTTGAATAAATTATACGTTGATTAAAAAAATATAAGAATGTAATATGATAATTAAAATGAAAGAATGGAATAATAAACTACTAGGAATTTGTGGAAGAGAATTTTTTTTTCTATTCCATTATTCGAAAAGAAGAAGAATAAAAGCTCGCAATATATCCCTTAATATTACTTTGTGAAATTGGCTCAAGATTGTAGATTAACTATGCTATTGAGGAAAATAAAATAGAGAAATATTTCAAGTCAATAGCGTATGGGCAAGAACTTATATTAAAAGAAAACACTTTGGTTTAAAATATGAGCAAAAATTATTCGATTATAAAATAAAATAAGTGATAATCGAAGTCTGAAACTCGCATATACTTATATTAAAAGAGATATTGGTAAAACATCTTGGTTATAAATTTCTTTTAAAAAGAGATATTGATAAAAAAAAATATATATATACTTATATTAAGTATATATGCAAGTTTCACACTCCGAAATGTCACTTATTTTCTTTTATAAAACATGTTAAAGGTCGATTTAGACCATCAATAGTATTGAGCCAGCCTGATAATCTGATATAATCATATGATAAATAACAACAAACTCATTATCAATAATGTCTAAAATTTCCCTCGTATAGAAGAACATGCTAGAAATATTTTTTTCTTATATTTTTCATGTTTTAACTTATTTTATATAATAAGTCAAGACGATGAGTTATTACCTTAACACCAAAAAAGAGTTTCATATAAATACTTTATTTCTGTCCTAGTCGGCATTAGAATACTTTTTCCAGTCCTCTTGGGAAACTTTGGTTACAGTGTTAGCCATACAATTTGTCAATTTCAGACTTGATATCAAAAAATCTATCCCAATTGTTACATCAAATATTATTCGGAGGTATAATTCTAACACCAACTGATATATCAATCTATAACAAAAACTGAATAAAAATGCACAAAATCCATAAAAACAACTATAGCAAATTCTAATGTTTTCCTTCACCTGATCAAACCCTAGAACCAATTTATCAAATGGACAATTGAAGTCTGGTGTAATTCTTAATTCTTCATTCATGCAGGTAGGGAAAAGTTTCATCTCCCTTGTGGTGACATTGAATAAATAAAGTTATCATTATAGCTATACAAACAAACAAATCCATTGCAATGATTCGAACAAACAGTCATATCTTCATCGTAGAAAAAATAATCAAGTTGTCACGATAAATCTACCAAAATGTATTGAGTTGAAACAGAAGTCATCCATTAAGGAAAATTTCAATATCGGAAAATACACTGCCATGGCTCAGCAGACACCAGGACGCTCAGATAAATTAACACAATCTACTGGGGCAAAGAGTATATGCCATCAATACTAGTGCCTTACCAAGAAACACTTAAAACATTTGGAATTGCACTGAGAATAAGATATGAACTTGTTAACATTCACACAAACATTAGGAACACGAAGTTTGTATAAAGGACAAACAAGACTTCAGCCTCTGAAGGGCAGCACCAACAAAAAACGCTGTCAAATCGGCTCAATACCTCTGCCACGAAAACTAATTAAACAAAAACTGGCGCATGTATATAATTATAAACAAAGTGCAAAACCAAGGGTTGTAAAATGGAAATAAACTGCATATAACAAAAGTGCATAAAGAATGAAAAATTACTGTATCAAAGAAGGGGGACAAAAATATGCAAAACAGTACACCAAGAGTAGCATGAATCAAGAATTCTCTGGACTTCAGGCCTTATGACCAGGCCATTGATAACAATCACATCCATCAACTATAATCTGATAAGCTTCAATTTGACCTAGAGACAACGCTGCTGTTTAAGGCCAAACTTCGTAACCTACCATATAAAGGGTACCCTCCCAAGGAGTACAACAAGGCGCACTATAACATCCGACATAGATTGAAGTTTTGATACAACTACTAACAGGCAAACAGGGAGCAAAAGCATCTGTTGAAACAGCGATGAACTAGCATTTTACCTTGTGAAAGTTCAATAAATGCGATAATCAAAATTTACCACAAGCGATTGTAATGAAGATAATACTACCATATCCTATCTTGGCTCTTCATCAAAAACCAGCCTATTATATTTCTATCATGCTTATCTCATCTGTCGCAGCTAAATCAACCAATTAAAACTAGATGTCCTGAGCTTAATAAATTGAGATTTGATTATTCGGCCCAAGTCATTTGCAGCAAACTGAAATGGCATAATACATATATTGGATCCTAAACTTGACTTCAAATTTTAACTTTGACCTCCAACTTTCATAATGCACAACCAGACACTTTAAGTAGACTCCAACTTTCATAATGCACAACCAGACACTTGACATCTTAGCGACGACTGCTTCAAATTAGTTTTTTAATCTTTTTTCTTTTTAAATCGCTCAAAAAATAATTCTGCCTATTTTGTGTAGTAAAATTTGTGCAAAATTTTTTTTCTCGATTTTTCTCTAAAAAATATTTTAATTTTTAAAGTTAATCATATATCCACTTTACAAAAAGAAGTTGGCATGTCAAATTTTTACAAAAAAAAATAAAATAAATTCACATGCATCTATAAAAAATATTGTCAATTCACGTGTATTTATAAGAAATTTTTTGTTTTTTATTAATTTTTTTTTTAAATCGCTCAAAAAATTAATCCTACCAATTTTAACATAGTAAAAATTGTGCAAAAAATCTTTTTTTGATTTTCTCGGGTTTTTTTTGATCTCGTATAAATGCATGTGAATAGACATTTTCTTATAAATGCATGTGAATTTTTTTAAAAAAAATTAATTTTAAAAAAAAATTGACATGTCAATTTTTTTCTGATAAAGTTGACATGTGATTAACTTCAAAAATTAATACAAGATTGGAGAAAAATTGAACAAAAATTTTTGCACAAATTTTACTACACAAAAATAGACAGAATTAGTTTTTTGAACAATTTTTAAAATAAATTTAAAAAAACAAAGCTGGCTGCTATTTACTTAAATTTTAAAAAAATTAAACATAAAATCTACATTTATTTAAAATATAAAAAATAAATTACACTTAAAATCTCTACTAAGACAATGATTTAAAAAAAATAAACGTTAAACAACGGCCGAGACAGCGATTTATTAAAAAAAAATAACCCGACTTATTCAAAATCATTATGATTTTTTTTTTCATATGAACAAATTCACTACTTTATAAACAATTTTACCATTTTGATTTTTAAAAAATCTCATAAACCCTTTTAAAATTTTAGTTAAGGTTTAGGCTCAAGACTCCATAAAATACACTTTATACCCCACTTCAATTAGGAATCCAGGTGGATTCGAACCACCGACCTCTCGACAACAAGCATCGAGCGCTCCACCATAAACCGAGCTCTTGGATCCATCCGAAAAAGTAATTTAGCAGCTAGATAATTAACGAAGATAAGGCCATTAAACAAATGGTAGCAGCATCTATCTTAAAAATTAAAGTCATAATTAATACATAACTTAAAGCTACTACCGGATTAAAAAAATTAGAGCCAAAAATGATATCCAGGGTAATTGTAAGTCATCCATTTTGGTAGGAATATGATCAACTCTCATGTAAACAGAACCATTGGTTTAAAACAAACTTTCAGAGTTATAATAACGAACACTCTTTAAGAAAAAAGTATTTGATCAAACTCGTGAGTGAGTACAACTTTCATGTTACAGTCCCCAAAAAGGTATAAAAATCTAAAATAATCGTAACCACAATAACTCGATAGTATATTATAATACTAAAATGACGTAAAACCTTTTACGCCAAAGGACACACCCCATGCTAATCTCAACAAATACTTCCATGGGACAACATCTCCGGCAAACACGGACATACTCTAGAAATAAATAAAAAAATAGAGCGAAAACTGAAACTCACAGTAAAACCAAAAATAATAACTTCAATATTGAATAAATGGAACTGCAAACCATTAGGTACGGCAAATCAGCATCTTCAAAAGAGGAGAAATTAAATGCACCGCATGGTCTTCATGAGAACTGTGAATTGTCATATATCATGAAAACATGCCTTACATCCACTCTAGTAGAAACAATCGGAACTGCAGACAGGGAAAAATACCAATAGAGTAAATAAAATACAAAAATACACGAATTCAGCGAAATATTAACAGACAGAAAGAGAAGAATATCTTCTATAAGACAGATGATTTACCTCATGAGTAGCATCATAATATGCTTAATAAAACCCCAAGGGAGAAAATTTATCTGCTACAACTTTGAGTGCAGTATATCAGGAGAAGAATGACCAGGCTACCATACTGTGTTAATGATGCACACGACAGATTCAGACAAGCAACAGCAACAAGTTTAGGAGTTAAAAGTTGAGTGTTTCCAAATGTAACAGGAACAACCCAACAGTGTGACCAAAATGATTTAACTTCCAACAGCAGCAAACGCATCTTCAGATCTTCAACTTCAACAGCAGCAACAGCACAAACAAAACTAGAACGCACCAGGTAAAACATCCATGCATCAACTGAGCAACACTCCCCACCACAAGGTGGGACCCCAGACAGCATGAATCAGAAACAAAGATATTCCCAAGTTCTAAGTTGCAAATTTTCCATCATCCAATCAGATACAAGATCTACCCAGTACACGGAATTAATTCAACAGTCAAAATCCCAAACCTGCCTAAAATACACTTCCCAGAAGGCTACACAAAAGGGGAGCCATAATCGGCATCTCCATAGATTGAAACATTTACATCACGATTTAAAAGAAACAAAGTGGCTCTCCACAACTACTCCTACTATAGAATTAACTTAAAAGGAATTAACTCATCCACAACGAAGTAATTTCCAAGTGAAAGAGCCGTGAGAACAAATGAAAAAGAACAGCCATCAACAAGAAGAGACATAGTTGAAGCCTTGGTTATGCCATGACAATGGTTCTTACGCAGAACTTATTTTTAGATGGCTTTTTACATGACATATTTTAGATGCGAATCTTGTTCACCTGAAAAAAACCTACTAATATTCAAATAATAGTTCAAGTTTGACAGCTAGACGGCTAAATAATTACTAGCACGAGGCTTAAGCTAACGCAACTTAAAGTTGATGCGTCACAGAATAATTGGTCTAACGATTGGTCTTTTAGTTGTTAATACTTACTTAAAAGGTGTCAATATTTTCGTTTTTGAAATACATTCGTTCTTGAAAAATATGTACATGAACCCTAAGTTATCAAAAATCATGGTTATATTGGATATAAACATAGAGTTGAGAGGGGAGACCAGCCAAAATATTTTATGACATAGTTTAAAGCTGCTTCAATAATCAGCTGTATGTGACTACATATAAAAGACTAAGCTTTGTGCGGCTTGTTGAATGATTCTACAACTATTGATTAGAGATATTACCATTACTGTGTAGGTGATTATAGAGGAAAAGTAATTAATATATGGATGCTGATAATGTAAAATTGATTATGTACCTCTGAGGAGTGCAGCAGTAGAAACGTTGCTTTGTCCATCGCCATATTAAGCAATTCAACACGAATAACTTGTCCATAAAAAACAAGTAACCACTGGATCGGTGCGAGATTGTTGGACGCAGGAGCAGGGAAAGAACATGAAAAAATAAAAGAGGCGACACACACAGAGAGGAGATCCAGGCAAAACCCTGTGCCTCTCCTCTCCAACACCAAAAAATATAGTTTTATTAGGTACTTTTGGCCTGCCATGCGAGCGCACCCAACATGGCAAAGGCCTGGCAACATAAAACAGTAAACACCTCACTTTTTTCCTCTCAAACCTCGCACAACCTCAACTCATTCTTTTATCTCTCGTACATGTGCATGCATCGATAAAAACTTAAGCAAATAAAACATTTAAATAATTATAAACATCAAAATTAAACCATCATAACCTTGGATTCACCATAACGTTCTATGATTCAACCTTCGCCGATGATAACCGGTCAAAAGAGCTTGATCTATGACAACAACGAACAAAACCGATAGTCCTTGCATCTATCTTCAAACCTGCAACATGTAGAAAGACTTAGCATGTTTTCAACAGAGGTAATTTGCATGATTCATCATCTCCAAGCAAACAAAAACACCAAAAAGCTTATGTTGCTCACCAATAAATCTCTTGCGCACAACGGTTGAACCCTCGCGATGATAACATCAAGGTTGCTGAAACTTCTTCTCCAATCTCCACAAATCTATTAAGACCGAACAGATCTGATGCTCGACTATGCTCATCTATCCCAAACGAACACACAAACACATCAGATCCACCATCTCTTCGTCAACCGTCGGCCAGAACAAACAAATATCGAACCATCCATCCATACGGCCCGTCAGTCGCCGGTCCGGTACAAAACCACGGCGGTCCGGTACAGAAACGCGGCAAATCCATATCCAAAACGTAGATCAAGCAACGATCTACACAGATCTGATCATAAAATTTGGAGAAGATAAACTACTTAGAAGAGATCTGGAGAAAAGAAGAAGATAGGCGTAGAGGGAAAAGGTATACATGAATGAAAAGGGGAGGACGTAATTTATTGAGAATTTTGAGGGAACAAACGGTTCAGATTGATTTAAGATAAGATATTCAACGGTAGAGATGAGGTTTAACCATTTAAGGCGGCAAAGAGGTTGACAAGGAATAGGTACCGTAAACAGATGGACAGCTGTCATGGAATAAATTAAATTAAAGGGAAGTTTCTGGATGTGTAATTTGAGTAGGACATATTAACTTTTGTAACGTGTGATAACATGCTTCTCACGTCTAACACGATAATTTCAGAATTTTAGCAATTTAAAAATAAATATATTCTACGGAAAAGGGCCTAAAATATCCTTAAATGAAAATGGTATAAAATTACCCTCCATCCAACTATTGGCTCCAAAATACCCTTGTCATCCACCTTTGAGTTCAAAATTGATCACTTTTTTAATTGTTTTTAAAATTAAACTCTTTAAATATTTTTTAAAATACTTGACATTCAACTATTGATTATAATTTTAATTTATTAATATGATTTATAAATCAACCCACTATCTACTCATTACTAACTAAACCTCACTGAATTAATGATCCAATTATAATATCAAAATCATCATAAACACTACTAAAACACGATGAAATTATAGATTCTTGAAAATGACATCCAAAATTATTCGAGTCCGAATCGAAACCCCAATTAAATTTAGGTTGAGACACTTTCTTTCAAAATTGAATTAGAAATTTATGATTAAAGGTAAACAAGCAATACATCCCGAATTAATTCATGCACTTTTTTTAAATATAATTTTATAAATATTTATGATTTGTTTTAAAACCTTTAGTATATTATTTTGAAAAAAATTTACATATTAAGTAACATCACATAATTGAGACATAAGAATAATTAATATGAACATAGTCAGACTTTTAAGTTTATCGGTGATTTTTATTTAGCCACTTGAATGCATGATAATTTAGTTCTATAATTTTTAAAAACACATCAATTAACAGTAGTTTGCATTAATAATGTGACGGGTTTATTAAGAGGAATTTAATTAGTAATGGGTGGGTAATGAATTGATATATAAATTATACAAGTTAAATTATAACAAATAGTTGAGCACCAAGTATTTTAAAAAATATTTAAATAGTTTAAATATAAAACCGTTAATTAAGTGGTCAATTTTGAACCAAAATATGGATGACAACGATATTTTGGACCCAATAGGTGGGTGGAAGGGATATTTTGGAGCCAATAGGTGGATGAAGAATAATTTTATACCATTTTCAATAATTAATTTTTATTTCCAGTAACTATTGTGAAAATTATATTTTTACAAAGAGGAAAATATTTATAGTCAAAAAAGCTTGCCGTATAATTTATTTAGACGCTTAAATTAATTGGAACTTGGAAGTTTTATCAGTTTTTAATTATTTATCTATTTTTTCTCTTTTTAATTGTTGTAGTTATTTGTTTATTATTTTAATAAATAAAAGAGGACGGTTTTTTTTATCTATTTATACCTTCAAATAATTACTTTGAAAAAAGAAAACTTTTTTTGAGAATCTTTAATTTTTTAATTCATTCATTTCATAATTAATAGAGATAAAATGATAAATTCATTATGTCAATTATTATTTTTCAATCGATACGTCAAATCAAAAGTTGACAATAATTAGAGACATGTAAGTATTTTTTATTAATTTTTTTAAAAAATAAAATTATGTGCATAATTTAATTGTTCACGTGGATAGTGAATACTAGGTGAGAATTCAAATTTAAAAGCAAAATGTTCGTTGAGTGTATAAATTTATCACTTAAAATATATTATTTAAAAAAATGTTTATAATATCAACGCCTTAATTTGAATATACATTTAAAAACATGTGTAAAAAAATTAAAAATGGGAAGTGTTTAATTAATTGTTTAGTTATATCAAAAATTAGTTCAAATCTGAATGAATGCATTGTTTTATATAAAGGTGTATATATAATATTAAAAGGAGTTATTCATGTTCAAGCCAGTTTTAATAATATTATCGAAATTTTTACAGATGTACATTGTTGCGATTTTGGAGATATCCAAATTATTCAGATGATAATTATAGCATCTTGTACTTAAATCAATTGATTCAGTTTTTTTTAAATAATGAAGAAAAAAACTTTTTTGTTTATGTTTACATAATAAACGCTTAAGAATACGTACAAAATCTTATACATTATCTTAGTTAACCTCGAAATTTTTTGACACAAGGCTTTATATAAGCTTATGCTGGATTTTAAGATTACGTGAGAGAAAAGAAATTCCAACAAATTCTATTAGTTACTTATTTGCTATACCAAAAGGGAAAATGCGTTTGAAATTCAATAACATTTTTCTTAATTGCTGGTGTAAAACAATTGTTTGACATATATTTTATTTTAAAACAAACAAATTTTTAAAAATTAAGTAAATGGACAAACATTTGTTTGACACTCATGTTAACAAATTAGTTGACGATGGATTTCTAGCACTATATTTTTCAATCTTCTTCAAAGGATGTTGTCCCTCATTGCATATTTAGTTCAAACTTAAATACCAATTAAATTTTTAGAAAATGCTTATTTATGTCATCAGTTAAAAGTTTAACTCATTTATGATATTATTACTAAAGAAAAAGTCCATTCATGCCATTATTTTTTAATAGTGGTTTTGCAAAATTATTTTTGACACGTGAACAATTATAATTTGGCCATGTCATCATTTTTTTTCAATTAAAAAAAAAATTAATTCAATTTTATTCATAATTTTTTAAATTTTTTTATTAAAAGATTGATGACATGTCCAATTGTATTGGATACGTGTCAAAACTGGTTTTGCAAAATCAATTTTTAAAACTAATGACATGAATGAGTCTTTTCTTTACATTAATGTCATAAATGAGCCAAAACTTTTAAATGATGACATAAATGAGCCTTTTCTGAAAGTTTAATGACATATTTAAGCCTTTTACCAATAATTAAATTCATTATAGTTTTTCGTTGAATTCAAAACAAAACTATTTTTTTTTTTAATTTCTTCTACACTTACCAATTTACTATCTTGAACACGATTAGGTAACACTTATTTTATGAATACAAAAATTGGTAGTGGTCATGGTGACAAAAGTTGGCGATTAAGATGAGTGGTGGTGATAAACTATACTTTTTATGTAGTGTAAAATAAAAAGCCAATCAAGTTGAGTAAAAAAACACCTAATTAGGTTCATAACTTTCTAAAGAATATTTAAATAATTTGGACTTAGATCATCATCTTCTATTCCAAGATAATTGAAACTTGAAAGTAGCTTTAGTTAAAGGTAGCCAACCCATACCCTAAATGAAAGCTGCAAATTCTCTAACATTTCAGCTGTAATAAAGCAAAAAAGAACCATTGTATTCCTCTAGTTAAGGTATCAAGCCACAAACCATGTTACACCCATACAAGTGATCAACTTTAAGCTAATCAAAGCAAACATGATGTATATTTGGTCTAACTTTCGTGTCTCTCAATTATTTTACGAAATATCTGTTATCTCTCATCATCTCATCGGTGTAACTTTTTTCGATAGTGTTTAGATAGGATAGAATAACTATCTAATTTCCCGTGTCTATAACTTCTATCACTCTTTTCAGTTATCACTAGGCAAATAGTTGATGGTCAAGGTTTTGAAAACTCAAAATCATAAAAAGTGATCAAATGTGTTTATTTAGACGAGTGAGCTGTTTTCAGTAAGCTTTTAAGGAAAAAGAAAGAAATTATACATAAGTATGTTTTTTAACTTGATCTTAGCACACATTTATGTCTTCCAATCTTGAATGTACACAAATACGCATTTAAATTTGTATAAAGTTAAACAAGTAGACAAACACGTTCTGTGTGGCATCCTACATGACAATTTTCATCCTATGTGGTGTCCTACACTTATTATGATACGTAAGACTCATGTGTCTACTTGTTCAACTTTATACAAGTTAAAGTGTCTATTTATGAACATTCAAAATTGAATAGAATAAGTGTGAGATGAAGTCAAGTTAAAATGCACAGTTATATATTATGCCGAAATAAGTGTTTTAAATAGTAGCGGTGAATTTTTTTTCTTCTAAAAAAGCACTTTTAAGAATCATGATCTAGCACAAATTATTACTGTGAATTGATTAGTCAAACACAAATTGCTAATCACCAAACACGCTATTCTGAAAGTTTGAAACTCGCATTTGACAATAACAAAAAAACACATTACAAAATAAGCAGATTTTAAAAATTCGACCAAATCACGCTATAATACAGTAGAACAGAAAAGGAGATCAGTACTGTCAACAAAGAGAACTTTTATCTGAAGCTATTTGATGCCCATACAAATACATTGCTTGGATTAAAATGAAAGCCAAGCAACCACAGTGATTCTGATAGAGAAAAAAAAAAAAACACTGAGTGATAGCTAAGCTAACTTTCAAGTCAATCTTTTCTATCTGGTGTATGATAACAATTTTATTATTTTTTGTTTCTTTTTCCCCAACTTATTTTCCACCTTACCCAACACTGAAAAACCCTTCTCACCAAAAGTGACATAACAACTTCACACACATTAACAAATTGACCTGCAACACAATCTAAGAATATTCTTCTTCTCCTTTTTTTTTTCACTTTTATTGAATTTTGATGTTCCCTCTTATGGATGTTTAGTCCCAAAAAAACTCTGTTACATAGTAAAACAGAGGGAAAAATTATGTCAGGGAAGTCGGATTTCGCGCAGAAACTGCTGCATGATCTTAAGCTTCGTAAGGAACGAGTAGCTGCTGCTCAAAGTTCAGGCTATTCATACTCCACAACTAGAGGTAAACTAATGAAATGCTAATGCACATGAATTTTCTAATAAATCTGAAGATATCTGGTTGAATTATGCATGAATGAGATTGAACGTCGAATTAGTGAATTGTATAGATTGAAATGTGTAATATTCTTTGGCAATATTACACTGAGATAGAATTAGTATGTTCTTTGAGTATTTGAGGTAA